GCATCAAAACTCAATAATCACTCGACAAATATAAATACATAAAATCAAACGTAAACGCAATAGAAACATCTTGAATATCAAAAGAATAATCAGTATAGGACGTTCCCTTTAATACAAATACCAGGAAAGTTCACGCTAAAGAAATGTCATCATAAGTAAATTTTTGTAAAAACCTCATGAGAGGAAAAAATGCAATCCGAATTATTCACGATCTTAGGGGGCTCATCATGAGGCAAGCATACAAATATACAGCAGCCACCGAGGTACCCCTCCATTAGCAACGATTTAACAAGTTTGTGTGTGTATATTTATAGACAGAATGAGACTTCATTGTGATTAGACTTTCGATTCGACCTGCGATTTCAATGAGTTCATGCTGAACAATAAGGCATTATTTGCAAAAAAGCACCAAAACACTGGACAAAATAAATAATTTACTTATAATTCTGATACATTTATATGCCTAAATGGTATCTTTACGTGGTTATCATTTGGATGAATAACCTGTAACTCCCATTCACATTCGTAAGGTGTAAAGATGATCAGTCAGTTTTTAATAAGAGCTTTAGTCTCTCTATTACATGTGAGTTGATGAAAGAGATAGACTTCAATTTTCGAAAAATAATATACAATATACAAGTCGCATAATGTAAGTGAATTTTCCTTAGCTTCAATTTGGACCTCAGCATCATTAATAGAAATAGCATAGTGTTGTCATGTCGAAAATACAGATTGTGCTACTCGAGTTCGACTACTGTCGGAGGTGATAATTGGACCCAAGCGAGGAGGACAAGGCCTGGAATAAGAATATCTTGTGAGAATGAAATTTGTTAGTATCGGGACGTATTCTATTAGTTTTTAAGAACCTCACTCTTAGTCAATTCTGGAAGTCCGTCTGCTAAATGAAGATTTTGATATTTGTCCATTCGCAATTTAAGCATTGTGGAAAAATTTAGGTGTTTAGCAGGTTTATCACAATATTGTATAAAATATGGATTTGTTAATTTGGCTTTGAACTGATTCTTCAATTAAAACTTATAGACACTTGGGAAATATTAAAAAAACAAAACAATAAACGGATAAATGGCCAGATTAGTAAATTAGATAAAGTAGCCAGAAAAAGTGGAATTAAGTGCTGAGGGTACAATGCCAGGAGCGATGGCAGGAGGAATGAGAGATGTCAGAATGAAGGAACAGAAAATGGGTCAAGAGGATTGTCTTTTTGACGAGAAGTTGCTCGGTGCTAGGGCTGATGCTTCATATTAAAGATGCCTACATAGCTTTTAGAAAGGTATCAAGTTAGGCAAAATTATGTTGGAAATCATCTTGACCACTATGACAGAGGAGACAGGTCCTTCTGTCAGCCAGACCAAGTTGTGAAAAATAGGTCAGACCAACTATATTATTATGTTTATTTTTTACCTGCCAATAAACATTTCATACAATTTATTCATCATGTTTATAAAGTATTGCTTTCATCTGTGATCAGCTAATATAATGAAGAACTGACAGTTTTGGAGTAGCAGTAATATTGCAACTGTATGCGAATTACTACGGTTCGAATCCCGTTTGAGGTGCTGATAAAGCACGAGGTCAATTCCGTAAACAATCTCTCCTTGCCTTATGTAGCGTTTTTAGTCAAGACTCACGAAGAAAATGTGGGTTTCAAAGAATCTTTTGAGATAAGCTTGATGTAAAGACTTTCTTTTTTTTTCTTTATAATATATACACTCATTGCGAGCAAAGTTTAAAATGTAGATGCATATAGAAAGGTTTGGTTAGTTTACATATCCTCGAGCGTGTCTGTGTGTGTGAATGAGGACGTTTGTATGCAAAACCGTACATACGATGACATGCTTACTCGCATAGACACACTCGAGTATATATGAAGTAAGCAAACCTCTCTATATTCATCTATATCTTGAGTTTTGCTCGCAAAGAGTATATATATTATATAGAAAAATCCGGTTAGTCTTCATGACTTCGTGTTAATTTGAGGCTTTTGCGAGAATGAGTCCCAGCTCTGACAATGTTCGTCATGAAGAATGATGAACGAAAGCTTAGCCCGTCTTTGATGAAATGTTGGAGGATGTCTCGTGTACTGTATCAACTTTAACGTCGTTTTAAAGCCAAATGGCTGCATACGAATCTCTACGAAATGAAAGTCTTCACATCAATAGTGTGAGTCTAGTAATTGCGCTAATTTATGTTATGATGTATAAATTGTTTTCGATAAATCTAATGCCAATCAATTTGTGTATTTGTACATAATATCTAACTTGGTTTATTATGTTAAAATTGGTGTGAAACTAATACAAGAAAAAAAGATTCAAAAAAATAATTTAAATAACTTACCTAACCATCAATTGTTTGGTATTTGTGTTTATTTAATCAAAGATAGGTTTTTAAGATATTCCTAAAAATAAAAAATGACCATTTTTCCGGGACTTATTAAAAGGCTCAAAATATACTCACATTGAAAATAAGTAGAATAGTGATTCTACTAGCAAATACATCGAAAGCCGAAATCACGGCATCCTCGTAACAACTCTAAATCTTTAAATCACCTTAAATGACTTAATTTGGCAATTTTAATGCAATCTAATACATGCATGATTTTAAATTGTCCTGAAAAATTAAAAAAAATGTATTTTGCCACATACATTTCACAAAGATTAGGTATTTAAATAGCAATAGTTAGTTATGGCTTACACTGTCCGTTGCACCGTCGGATGATCTTATCCAAGAAGGTGTTTTGTGGAGCTACCAGGCCTCTCCTTGCTCCACTCATGGCAACCGATAATTTGCAGATTCTACACAAATGGTTGCTAGGCTGGCTGTTTCTCCGGGCCGAATGGTTCTTTGGTACCACTCAGATACATCCGAAACATGGTAGAGCATCGTGGCGCTGGATTTCCACGACTGCCCTGGATCCTCATGGCTTTTTGCGTGATGAGGATGTGATGTTGTCCACTTTTATGCTCAGTAATACTCACATGGCATGCGAATATATGATCGTCTGTGTCGCTTTCATATATATCCGTGGAAGTCTGTAGCAATCATTTGCATTTCATCAAGAGTACAAAAAAATTCAATACGATAGTCAAATAGTTTTGGGAAATGGTTGAATCAAGAAATGTACATCCAACAGTTGTCTCCAACAAAATTATCCTATTTTGACATAATCGCTCTGCACTGCAGTTGGGGATTATTTCTGTCAAGTCCCTTGGAAATCTCGCTTTTTGCCAACGACTTGTGGCAAGCCATGTGAATGTGCACGTATTCTATTGGACTTTACGACTAGCCAGCCTGCGTAGTAAGCATACACGTACGCCGATAGGGGCATGTGGCAAATGGTGGGGAAAATATGCGGCTAGATCTAGAGACTGCGGGAGAAAAAGAGACGCTACTAAGTAGGCTGTGTGAAGCTGAGTAAGATGGCTGAGGAGATGGGTGAAGTAGGGACTAAGGCAACACCCAACATGTCATGACGCCCTACAGCATAGATACCTGAGAAGCATTACAAATATGTAGTCGGCTTAGCTGCTCTAACCTGATTGGTCATGAGCAAAATACTTTAAAGCAAGACTTCCCTTCTGCTCTTTCTGAGTAAAGTGTGTTCGATGCAGCATTGCGAGTCTATAAATAGGCGGTCATATGAAGACCTACGGGAGTGTCTTCATAGTCATCCAAATGGCTACATTAAACGTTAGCTATATATGCATATATATAAATATATAGATAGATAGATGTATAGATAGATAGATATGTACAAATAGGAAATGAGAAGTTTTGTGCAGATGAGCTACACAAGAGATACTGATTGGTTTCTACCGATTACAACGAGATAACAGTCTTTCATGTGCGTGAGGTTGAGGAAGAATCTATGGGCGATGATGTATAATGAGAAGGCTAATTTGTCCGCAACATCCTGACCTGTACTTGAACATGGCTAAAACAAGAAATAAGTTTAATAAGGTCTACGCATAGTGGTTATTAAAGTATCTTTTTAATAACATGTGTTCAGCCTATTCCGCTTGAGGTGATGAGGGACGGATAGTTGACTTTTCCCACCATCACATCAGTAAATCTAACGTTTCCGCCCACATTTGTATAGCCTTGCATCCCTAAAGGTCGAGCCTGGATGCGAATATCTTTTGAGAAGCAAAGCTATGAGAAATTCAATGAAAGCGTAAGGTCGGCTCATAGCATAATGGGAAAATTTAACTACCAGTCCTTCATCATTATCTTGTACATATGATTCCATGGTAGTCTGCAAAATCTGCTTGTAAATGAAAAATATATTTTTTTCAATGGCACTGCACTATTTTGAATTGTATTATATTAATTTATATTATATTTATATTTAAAATAACGATTGTATAGTCCTGGTTGTAAAGCGTATAAGAATTGAAAAGATATTTCTTTAAAATTATTTTAAGCGTATCCAGTATTGCATATTTTAGGCCTAGTCACTCTTGCAATTACTTCCAAATCGTAAGGTTTTAACTTGTCTACGGATGCCGCTAGAATAGGAAACTAATTGCACCAGCAAAATTATCGCACCTTTTGTACCCAGACCATATGGAAAGTGTGATTTGG